TTTTTTTTTTTTTTTTTTTCAGTGAAAAGAGCAAAAAATTTTTTTTCACATTTTTCTTATAATCGAGAATCACCGAGATCACCTGCGGAGTTATTCGTGGCACGTAAAACAAACGAGTCCGCGTATGGAAAAATCGAGCAGCCCACTTGCAGAATGTTTATTGAAACTCGCGATTATGTAAAAGTGCTTCAGCTATTAGATAACAATCCGGTACTTGAATGCGCGATGCCTCGAAACGGTATCAGAAATTGGAGGCAGCTCCAGTAAAGTGACTCGTTACGTGTTATGCGTCCCGTAGGTCCAGAAGGGACACCGGGTCAATTGCAGTTCCATTCTGGTAAGTCGATGCGGTAAGAAATGAATGTAAAAAAACAAAATATATATATACATCATACGTACATAACAAACTATACGTAGGAACGACAGTCGTATCGACTATACATCATATAGGTATATAATCCCGTGAAAATCGAAGCCGTCAGCAGAATTAATTACCCGACTGACCTAAGAACTTGGAATTCCAGATTTAAAAAAAAAATCGATAATTACCGAAGATGCTGCAAGGATAAAACTTTTTTCTTTAAATTTTTGTCGCCTCATCAATTAGTCACGTGGATATTCGATGTGATAAAAAAATGATACAATTTCGAAAAATTCAATTCAAAAAAACCACTGTAATAGCGTTTTATTGTCGATTCGAGGATTAGGATTAATAGTGGTGCAGTCCTTCGAAGGACTAGGCGTCGCGACGGCGACGCTTGTCCAATCGTTCTGTTACGTCACTGGTGCCGTTGAGGCTTCACGATCAATAAAGATAGGAATGTAATCCGCGCTTCTTCAATGTCGAATAAAAGGAAGATCCTTTCGTGCACGTTAAAGGGGCCCCCTGATAGCGCCTGGGGCCTTACGGACTCCCTTGGGACTTACCAAGCAGGAAGTCTGACATCAGACCCGATCAGTCTGTGGTGTTTTCGTACGGTGTTTCGCGAACTCGAAGCGGGGCCCAGAGGGCCACGTGTGTTCCGTTAGGATGAAAATTTACGAGGAGCCCAGAAAGGTCTTTCGGTCTTTATATACATTTTTTTTTCACGTTCCATCACTGACCACAGGATGCTGGTTATTTTTGTTCGGGACTTCCGTATGCGATAGAATTGAATTATGCAAATTATAGTATAGATATATACAGTGGGCGATAAAATTGAGGGTACGAAATGTAATAAATATTTTACTTGACACAGATCTATACCAATATAGGAAAAGAATCAGAATCACTTATTCATTATAAAGTGTGGGTAGGATCAACTACTTATCGGTATTAAATAAAACTTGAAATAATATAATTACTTTCTGTACCGCCACGACTGAAATAAAATAATTTAACCAGGAGCGGACAACATTTTGAGTACGATGACAGAATTACAGTGATAGCGAGATAAATAATCAAAAACAAATATTATTAATATTTGGTATAACCTCCTTGGGCTTTCCACGCTGTCCCGCTGAATACTCTCCCACGCTGTACGCAGTTTGTCAAAAAAAAAAAACACGTTGCATTATTAATATCCACACGTGATACTTTTTCATCGAAATAAGACCAAAGATTTTCAATGGGATTGAGGTCAGGACTCTGCGATGGCCACTCTGACACTCGAATTTGATTTTACTCAAAATATCGTCTCGCTGCTTTTGAAGTATGCTTTGGGTCGTTATCATTTTGAAAGATAAAATCCTGTCCCAAGTTCAATTTTTCAGCTGACACATGCAAATTCTCTCGTAAAATAGCAACATAAGACTGTCCCGTCATTTTTCCTTCAATTCGTTTCAAAATTCCCAATCCGCTGTAGCTGCAGCAGCACCAAACCATTACGTTTCCTCCTACGTGCTTAATCGTTTACTAAATCATGTTTGATTTATAAGCTTCACCGGGCCCGAGTCTCCAAACTCGCTTTTTCATATTACGAAGCTCGAATTTACTTTCATCTGATCAAATCGCACGTTCCCAGAAGGAAAGAGGCTACGAAAGATACTTTATTGCAAACTCTATTCTCATCGTCTTATGTTTCTTAGTGAGGAATGGCTTGGCGTCCTCTGGAAAAGCTTCGAATACCGGCTTCTCTGAGTCTACGCTTTACCGTTTCCGTCGAAGCGTCCACCTGCACTCTTTCCTCGACTTCACGAACACTTAAACTCGGATCTTTGTTAATTTCTCGCGATATTCGACTGTCCTCTCTTGCTGCTGTTTTGCCTTTCCGTCCTCTTCCTGCAATATTATCGACCCTATTCATTTTATCAAATTTTTTACAAATTCTCACGACAGCATTTTTCGAAATATAATATTTTAATGCAATTTTCCCATAACTCAAACCAGACTTACGGTCGTCTGGCACTCTTGTTCGAATATCTCTGCTCAGTTCCGTCCTTTGCGACATTTTCTAAAAACGCAAGTAATACGTTTGGTTGCATTTAGTTGTTTTCAGTTGAAAATAGTCCGGCAATACTACATTTTTAATACTTACCATGTACTTTACCCGAAATCTCTAGCAAATCTCGCAAGATGACAACGTACCCACAATTTTGTCTATTACAAATGACGCGCTACTAGGTTCCTCCACTAAGTACTACTGAACGTCACTCGACCTGTGACTCCGTACAGCGAGCATGGCCGTAGTTAAAGTCCAGGGTGCCCCAGGATTTTGTAAATTTTCGATTACCTAACTTTAACTAGATTTTTTAATAAATTTTTTTATATAGTATGTGGCGTACCCTCAATTTTGTCTTATATATGTTACCTTAGTAATTTAAATTCAGGATTTACATGGAATACCTCGTTACATGATTTATGTAACTTTTACAACACTTTCATAATGATCGATCGATATTCCGATTGATTGGGTATATCGATAAATCGATATTCGAGTGATTCGAAATAATCGATAAAAAAGGTAACGGTCGATAATTATTGACTAGGTTCACGATGAACTTGTGTCTTGTGAATATATCCGGAGTGACGTCATCGGTTGTAAAATTTTGATAAATTTGGATTGGCGGCTTTCGAGGACGAGTGTATGCCTAGATTGACCTTAAGTGACCTGAAAGTTTACGAGCAGTGACCTCTGGGAGATCAAAGGACTCGATTCAGTTTCGCACGTTCTTAAGGGGTATACGCGTGTATAGTGTAACGCTGTACGGTGGGAAAATATTTAATGAGTCGAGTGTATCTTAATAATCGTTTCAGGGTTACAGGATACGCGGTAATGAGTCGTAAAACGCGATGATTTCTCGTGATATATTAAACGAGCGATTCCAATTACGTCGTTTGTGAATATTGACGGTTTACGGTCTGAAAATTAATAATCCGGCATTCTACGTGCTGCGGCTTTATTAAATTTGTTCGAATTCTATTTTCAAGTTTGAGTGACGCTTTTGGTTAAGTAACAAGGTGATTTTTTTTATCGCGACTCTTCTGCCATCTGTTGTCAAACTCAAGAAGTAAAGCCATTCACGGCTTAATGAATTTCGTCGGCAATACAGCCACGGGGCTGCTACGCCATCTTTGATCAAAAGATGTAAATTAATAAAAACGATTTGTGAATAGATTGTAATTCAGCTTTTTAAAGGAATGGAATAAAGGGGGGGGGGGTTGTAATAAAAAAAAACGAAAGAAAGATGAAGTGAAATAAATTTAACGACGGCCGAGAGGAAAGAAGGTTTGGTTGTACAAGAGGAAGAAAATTGTAAAGTGGAAGGGTGCCAAATGGGTTTTACCCTAATCAATTCTGTAAGACCCTACATTTTCATAGAGTACTGCAATCCCTCTGTGAACTAGGAACAAAACTCCTCGAGTTGTGACAAAAGGGGTAAAAAATTTAAAAGAGCGAAATTTGGAAAACTGGTCCAAAAAATAAAAAAGTGGAAAGAGATCAGGAAGTCACGGATACTCAACCCCTAGTCAGATTTACCGGAGTGAAGACCTTAGGGTACCCTGAGGAGACTGTCAAAGGAGGTCCCTTTATGAGGTCTGGGGAGATATGGCCATGACCTGAATCCTAACTACTGAGCAAGCTCAGCGGATGAGCCAGATGAACCACCTGCCCGCCATTGTACGCATGCAGTTAGTCTACAAGGTGAAAGTTATAATGGTATCTCAAAATATTCTCGTTTTAAATATTCCACAGAATAGGGAAACACTGATTTGTTTTTATATGAAAATACCATAAGTGGGATTCCGTATGAAAATTTCCACCCAATTACGTAACTCGCATGGGACACAAATTTTTGTTTAATTTTCTCATATGGAATAACTTGAAGGTTTACGCGGTTCAATTTTTTTTTTACCTCTTTACCTCTAAATTGTTTTTTTCATCCGTACGACACGTATCTTTTAAACACAAATCACTCCCAGGAGACCAGCAGTGCGTTGGCGAACAGAAAGAGAAATTATTTCTTAATCCATTCCTCAATTCAGCTCTGAATCTCATTATTCAAACACGTTGACATATTTTGCAAATATTGAAAACGACTAATTCTGTGAACGTGATAAAAACACGTTATTCGAATATTTGAATTTCTATATTTCTCGCGCCTGCGCATAGGCAACTTTACGTACCTTAAGCACGACGCCAGAATACGGCAACCGGTTATACACGAAGAGAATTTTATAATTCACGTTACTAGACACCGATTGATTGTCATAATAATCCTGAGCCATCGTAACACTGTAAATCTAATGATTACTAATATTAATATTCCCAGGTTACTTTTCATCGTAAAATTTTACGGATACGTAGATATTTCGTATTTATTTATTATTCTTTATTTTTAATACGTTTGACAAAGCTGTACGGATATACAGGAAATACATTAAATTTCATAATTCTAATTCAATCCATAACCATTGAAACTGTATTTTGTATTTATCTTTCGGCTAAAGGCCATTCCACAGTGCAATATAATAAGAAATAAGCAATAAGATCTTCAATTGTATATTTACCTAATTCCATTGGATCCTCCAATCAAAAAGGATAAAATCGTTTTTAAAACCGAGCGCTTACTAAGTCCCTACGATTTTGGTGACGTCTTGGACATAGCAACGATACACAAGCGGTTGCTAGGGTCTTTAAGGACTTCACGGAGCACGAAACGTGATGAGTAACATCGAGGATGCCCCGTTCCGTAATTTATAACGGCTCACGTTAAAAATACATATAGCAACGATACGGATGCGGTTGCTAGGGTCTTTAAGGACTTCACGGAGCACGAAACGTGATGAGTAACATCGAGGATGCCCCGTTCCGTAATTTATAACGGCTCACGTTAAAAATACATATAGCAACGATACGGATGCGGTTGCTAGGGTCTTTAAGGACTTCACGGAGCACGAAACGTCATTGTCAAATGTCATTACCTGTCACCTGTCATGATTTGTCATCCGTATCGTTGCTATATGTATTTTTAACGTGAGCCGTTATAAATTACGGAACGGGGCATCCTCGATGTTACTCATCACGTTTCGTGCTCCGTGAAGTCCTTAAAGACCCTAGCAACCGCTTGTGTATCGTTGCTATGTCCAAGACGTCACCAAAATCGTAGGGACTTAGTAAGCGCTCGGTTTTAAAAACGATTTTATCCTTTTTGATTGGAGGATCCAATGGAATTAGGTAAATATACAATTGAAGATCTTATTGCTTATTTCTTATTATATTGCACTGTGGAATGGCCTTTAGCCGAAAGATAAATACAAAATACAGTTTCAATGGTTATGGATTGAATTAGAATTATGAAATTTAATGTATTTCCTGTATATCCGTACAGCTTTGTCAAACGTATTAAAAATAAAGAATAATAAATAAATACGAAATATCTACGTATCCGTAAAATTTTACGATGAAAAGTAACCTGGGAATATTAATATTAGTAATCATTAGATTTACAGTGTTACGATGGCTCAGGATTATTATGACAATCAATCGGTGTCTAGTAACGTGAATTATAAAATTCTCTTCGTGTATAACCGGTTGCCGTATTCTGGCGTCGTGCTTAAGGTACGTAAAGTTGCCTATGCGCAGGCGCGAGAAATATAGAAATTCAAATATTCGAATAACGTGTTTTTATCACGTTCACAGACGGTTTTAAAAACGATTTTATCCTTCTTGATTGGAGGATCCAATGGAATTAGGTAAATATACAATTGAAGATCTTATTGCTTATTTCTTATTATATTGCATTGTAGACAGGCCTTAACAGACTGTATGTCGTTATTATTTTATATTCTTTGCTTACGCTTAACATTGACTGAATGTTTGATGTAATGGATGAGAACGTTGAAAAATATTTCAGTGCCTTTCCAAGGAAATGAGAAAAATGGCGAAAGTAAATATACTGTATAGATATACTACGCCGATGATAAAAAAAAGTTTCTTCTCGATGAACATAAATAGGGACGTCATCTACCTCCAAGCAAGATTACGAAGAATTTTGTATCTACAGCACGGGAAAAAAAATTTATATACTTTAGACAGAAAAAAAATACAATTTATCATTGACAACAAATAAAATTCGAGATATATTTTTCACTCCGGTTTTTTTTTTCTTTTTTTTCCTTGAATAACGAAAATCCGTGCCAGGAATTCCAAAGTACTTACTTTGCACGTGCTCATAGTATTCTAATGCTGTATGTTTGTTATTAAGCTTTTACCGTGATTATTTTTGACGAGTTATTGTTAATATGCTTTCTATAGAAAATTGGTGCTGGTTTTGTACCAAATTTATATCAAGAAATGCACGAACCCGCCAAGTAGTACTCGATAAGGAATCACCTAAAGTTTTATTAATTAATAAATCACCATTAAATCATAATTAAATACGGGAAGCAGTAGTAACATAAAAAGTAACGAAAACGTTATAGGAAATATTGAAAATATAATTAAAATGATGGGCCAATGCTAGATCATATAATAGGAAAACATGTAGTGACTTATGTACTTGGCCTCAAAAATATGATATCAATACTTTTTGTTACCCGCCAAGTAGTACTCGATAAGGAATCACCTAAAGTTTTATTAATTATTAAATCACCATTAAATCATAATTAAATACGGGAAGCAGTAGTAACATAAAAAAGTAGCGAAAACGTTATAGGAAATATTGAAAATATAATTAAAATGATGGGCCAGTGCTAGATCATATAATAGGAAAACATGTAGTGACTTATGTACTTGGCCTCAATAATATGATATCAATACTTTTTGTTAGAGGAATTCACAGCAATCCTGTACTTGGCGTAGTTTTTTATACGTAAGTGTTTTTTGGGGGATTCAACTTGACTGGTGAAAACGTAGTCGATGTTCGACAGGCTAACATTATTATTATGTCGATGAATATGTATATTACTAAAAAAAAAAAGGTAAGAACAGAATATAACCTTGGCTTTTGCCTTCAAGCAAATGAATTGATGGGATTTTACGGAAAAAAGGGAAAAAAAATAGACTGAACCATCAATTTTTTTTTATAAATGTCAAATCCTTTGTAACGTAATATTACCATTTTCTGGATGTACTCTGAAATTTGTAACAAGGAATTTCGCAATTTTTATTTAAAATTGATTTTCGATCGACCATTTTCTTTTCTTTCCGGACCAAGATTTAGAGCACTGAATCGTATCGATACTATCGACAGACTAAAATCCTCACAGAAAAATTCTAATATTCGTGTATAAAGAAAAATGTTAAATTTTTCTTTCGATTACGAAAAAAATATTTTATGTCAAATCTTTTTCGTTATAAATCAATCCCATCCCGAATGGGACGCAAGATGATCTGGTCATTCTCAATGATAACGATCCCATCGAGAAAAGTTTACCTGAGATAACACCGAGGAGATTTCCAGATTGCCAATCGTCAAACAGTTATTAAATATATAGCCTACTGTGAACTTTGACCCTTTGAGATTGCAGCAATCGTAAATAAAATATTTCACGTATTCACTGTGACTATTTTCGAAATGGACCTTATCAAATACTATAATATTATCGGATGACCTAAGATATCGGTATAGTCCTATAGATATATTTTATATTGCATAATATTCAATGCACGACCTGAAGGGTCGTATATAAACAGAGGTCGTGTTATAAAAGTAAATATGTAAAAAAAAGAAATCCAAAATAAATTTATATTCATATTTTCATATAAATTGCGTGAAACGGCTCCCGGAAGTGAGTGGAATAAAGAGAAGGAATTAAGATGAAAAATAAGGTACAGGGTTCAGAGGGATGTTTTATCCAAATAGGGTTTTCTTATATGGTATTCCATATAAGAGAATGCGTGTCCATGGCGAATAAATTGGACGTCCTGAAGCCTCCCTTTCTTCTCGTACTTTGAGAACACCCTTAGAGGAGATTATTAAGGATTTTCTGAAACAAGGACTCCTAAATCGCCACTTGGGAATTAGGACGAAGGAAGTGAACAAACACGATTGCAAATAGATACGGTACTTTTAACGTGTTTACGAAAGGCTTCGTATCTTTAATGCTAATGGTATTAGGATTCCAAGAAAAAAATTATTATAATGATATAAAATTGTATAGGATTGGACAAAAAATCTGATAAGATATACAAACATATAACTATATACACCATGAGAATGTTCAATTCCATAGGGGTAATCAAAATAATTATAACTCATTAATGTACAAAGCTACATTTCGAAAATATTATTTATGTCGAATTTACATTTTTCAAGTGCACTCTAAGGAAATTTTAGGTCTGATTAGATATGATAGTTTGGAGAAAAATTTTTGTGTGTTTTGAAAAAAAAAATCGAATTGGATTCATTGGCACTCTCGGATTACGTTGGATCTGTTATTAGATCCCAAAATTGGGGCTGTGGCATAATCATATGTTGCTGGAATAAATAATTGTACATTATGTATAAGAATTTTTTTGATTATTTAATACATTTGTAAAATATAATAACTTGTATTAAAGTTGTAAATGAATTTTTGAAATTTACAAACCCGTCTGTATCTTTTCGATAGAAGCACAAGTCATTCAATATTAACCATCAATCCAGCCAACGTTAATTCTGAAGTGACAAGGGTTAAATTATAGAGATATCTGACCGGTAGGTTGAAGCATAGGTTAGATAAGAAAGGTCAAAGGTTAACAACATATTCAAAAGTTTTACAGATCGATAACATGATAGTTATCCTTTTCAATGAATCATTATATATCCTTGACTAAAAGAGGTTATTTTCCACCGCTTGTCTCTACTTCCGGGACGGGACTCTATATAATCCCAATAACCCTAACCTCAAAAATGATGAATCACCATCCTGCATAATCGACTAGAATAAATTATTGATTCATCCCTTAATGGATTTTCCATTTTGAGGATTAAAGTCTGAATGGGGTTATCGTACTGTCTATATAATATATTATAAAAATATTTAGTACCAGCCATCATATATATAGTTAGTCCCTTAAGCTCAATTTATTTATAGAAATTATTTATTTCGTAAGTTCGGAATTTCATGCTGACAAAAAAAAAGAAAGGTCTGAGAATCTTGGTAACGAAATTGCAAAAAATTGCCATTATTTATAGATAAAAGATCGACGGGCATTAACGATTAACGATGACAGCTATGTCGTTCGTTCCTTTCGTAAGGGAATAAGTGTCTCGGTAATTATTAGCAAAGTTTACGTAAGTGGAGACTGAAGCTAGAAATACGTTTGATTATTGTACAGTGAATGACGACTTGGCTTCACCATTTATAGCTCTGCGACTGCTTCACTGCGTAAATGTATTATGGATTCTTCAGACATTTTGGAATTCTCAATTATCTAGAAAATGTTCGCGACGTGTTAAAGACATAGGGAGCTGGGCGCATGCGTCCCAAATTTCTGAATGGGGTAGGTTGACGATATCAACAATGGTCTTGCGGAACATGAGAAACGTGAGAAGCAGCCCCAGTCACGCGGAGAACTTGAAACCGAGCGGATCGTTGCTCGACGAGCTTTTTGTGCAAATTTTGAAAAAAAAAAAAATAATATTTTTCTTGATCTGAAAAAAAATTTATTTAGATACACTTTTGACAACCTCCACGTACATTCAGGTTGAATTCGAGAAATTTATTTAACGGAACGGTTTATTTGGAGCGGGAAGATTTTGAAGGATCGTAAGATTTTAGTGAATTGAGAGATAATCGTGATTCGTGATATTTCGGTTTTTAATAAAAATTTGACGTAATTTTTGACTCGTGCATTTTAAAGGTAACGTTTCGAGCGACTCGAAATTTGCCGATGATCGGTGCTTTTTTGTAAGTGGTAAATTGTTTTTTTTTCTTTCTAAAACATTTTGCAAATTTTACTAAATCGATGCGGTTTGCAGTTTGATGAAATTCGAAAATATTTAATCTAAGAATTATTTTCCCTGTAAGAGTACCATGGGGAATAAATCTCGTGGGATTTCATGCTACTACAGTGCGTCGAGTGTAAATTTGCATTAATCGTAGCTACAAAGCCGAGTGAGTTTCCAAGTTGGAAAAAAGTAAATTTGAATATCAAAAAGTTTCTACTGCGTATGAGAGATCAGTGAAGAGTACTCCTAAGCCATAAATAAATTGCGAAACGTAATATGATTTTATTATATACTTACAAGATAACATGACATTGAACAATCGGCAGTGAAAAAAAAAGAAAAAAAATGACTGAAGTAACGTGAATAAAATAAATACTCGTATTAGCAAGCTCCAAAAAAAAAAAAAAAATTCCATTAAAAACCGAAACACCGTAAGTACAAATAAAATTCATGAAAATTCATGACCAACAGAAGAGAAGCATTAAAATCACAAAGTGTCATCGTATACGTCTTCGATTAACGTTATAATAAAAAAAAAAAATTGCTGCGAATAATTGCGAAAATTCCCTAAAGAAAGAAAAAAATCGTTTTTTTTTTTTTCAAAAATCTGAGTTTTCGGAAATGATATCGCCTATACGGTATCAGTGGTTTTCAGTCAAGCGCGTATTGTCAAGCATTCCAAGAGATTCTAGCAAGATTACCTAAAAAGAAAAAAAAAGGAGGATAAGGGAAAAAATCTCCATCGAAACGTCAAACGTTACACAACCATCCACCATTGCCATGGTGCTAAACTGTGCGCTGCTCCTATTTTTAACGTTTACTCTGTTCGGTGAAAGAGTGAACAGCACAAATTACGGCGAAAGTAAATTTGAAAAATGTCGTAACACCAGCGCGATTTCCGGCGCACAGGATTACAGCTTCCTGTACGATTATCTGGCTGGTACGGGAGCGCACAGCTTCAACGATAGCCTCACGATCGGATTCTTAGGATCCTACGGAAGATTTCAGGTGCTGACATATTAAAAGAGCATAGAAGAATATTAAAAATTTTGTTAAAAGTCCCTAATCATATTTGGCGCCAAATTCAAATCATACCTAAACTCTATACCCGTTTGCTTCAATGTTACGGACTATTAATAAATAAAACTTTTTTTTTATTATTACTCAAAAATTTCATACCCCCATCTTCAATGATGGGAGGGGGGGGGGAGGTGCAGCTCCAGAAAATATTTAGCCATTGTCTTAAAGTTGTGTAAAAGGAAACAAAGATATATATAAGTAAATTTATTCGGAAACTTTATAAAATCCTAAAAGAACAAAATCAAACATTTTTTTACTTACTTTTACTATTTAAGGGGTGCTGCGGATCCGTAGCGCCTATAAGCGATCCGCCACTGCTCTGCTTTATACTTATATTGGTTACAAATCCCGAAAGCCATTGGGTGTTTTTATAGGAACAAAGACAAGTAAATTCGTCGGTATCAGTCATTTTTAACGTTGTAAGCGAAGTTTTGCAATATAACGAAATCCAAGTGCTTACCTGCCCAGCGGTATATATATATATATATATACCGTTTTTAACGTTGTAAGCCAAGTTTTGCAATATATATATATATAGTCCATAACGAAATAAGGATGCTATCATGTCTTTGTACAAGTTATAAGCCAGGTAAATCCTCACGAAGCAACTTTCAGCTATCAGAAATGAATTTCGGGTGTCAATATTTTTCTAAATTTTCTTTTCTCCTTTCATTTCTTTCCTTCCTCTTTTTTCACCCTCTTGCTTATTGTTGTCCCTACAGAGAAAAGTGTGTCTCTCTGCACCCCGCTGTGTTACAGGATGGAAAAGGCAATTCCTTTTAAACAGATTCGACGTCATGCGAAAGTCTTAATATGATTTCCCAGTGAGGGGTAAATTGAAATGATCGTTTAAGAGTAAACATAATTGATATTGATTTTCAGGTCGCGCTGGGTGCCCTGCCATTGGCCATAGGAACCGTTAATCAGAGCCCGCAGCTTCTTCCAGAAAGGGAGTTAAAATTTCTAGCAGCGGATATAGGTAAATACAAAAATAATTAGGCCGGTAGTAAATGAAGGAATTGAAAAAAAATTTCGAAAATTTTTGGAAAAGTCACAAATGTTGGTTCGATAGTTGAAATTGAAAGAAAAATTTATTCACGTCACTCCTCAACCGTCTTATGACTTTTCTACGTTCGGAAAACAGGGTCGAAAATTATTTTACAAATTTTCACTAAAAACTTTCATACGTACGATCAATTGACTTTGTTAAGGTACAAAAAGCATGGGAGTGATTAAAAATTAATTTCAACAATTAATTTCAATTTTCCGAAAAATTAATTTCAACAATTATTTGACAACTAACAATTTTTGGGAACTACCAATTTTTTAAATTTCTTGCCACTCACGGAAATTTCGAGAATTTCGTAATCCCAAAAAACGCGTCTTTCGACTAATGCATATACTCGAGTTACTTTACGCTTTTGATCCTTGAAATTGATATGATGGAAAAAAAATTATTTCTGTAAATTCCTGCCATTTTCCCACTTTTCCTTTCTGCGTTTGAGTGTAACGTTTTTTTCAAATTTTTACATTTTTTGTTTCCATGCTTTCATTCAACTCCCTTTTCTTCTGTTATTGCATTCTCCTTTTTCTTCACTGTCAGGCAGAAGAAACGACGATTCTTTTGCTGTCCTCGGCATCAGGATGATGACGGAAATGAGAGATTCCGGCGCTGTTGCCTTCATTGGTCCAGACGATTCCTGCCGTGCCGAGGCACTTGTCGCAGCAGCTTGGAATCTGCCTTTAATATCTTACGTGAGTAAAGAAGAATTAACGGATTAAAATTATCTTAAGGAATAATAAGAAACAACAGCCGGTTATCGTCAAAGGTAATCAGGGGACTAGGTAACATTTATAATCCATAACCAGTTGTCCCCTCGAGATACACGAAATTATAACGACTGCTGTGTATACTTATGAAAACTAATAATAATGCCTGTAGGGGTATTACGGGATTATTTTTCATTAGGGGAAGCTTTTCTTTTTTTCTTTGTCATACAGAACGCAAAGTAACTACGCGGAATGTATTTCATCGTGGAATATTTGATTTTCACTTGGTGATGGTAGGGACTGAAAAAATAAATGAAAGCCCGAGGTATTAATTTATGCTCTACTGTCATGCTAATAAAATTACGGAGCACTTAAATTATTAACAGGCAGCAATTGGAGATTCAGTCGTAAGACCCGCGAAGCAATTGCAAACAGAAACTGAGGCCGAATCTATTAACGAATAGAATACCTAACGTTATAAACAGGGACTTAGGGGTAATGGAATTTGATATTCGACAAGGCTCAGGTTAAAGGGCTAATGTCAGAATGAAATATGGAGGTACATTTTTTGCAGGGTAAAATTGTGGGTAAAAATTTGGAAATATACGTTCGAAAAAGTTATCTACTGTAGTTTTGTAAGATTGTCTTATCAAAAGATCTTATCAATAATCGAAGCTCATTGGTACTCGAAGTGCCTTGTTTCAAAAGTCATGTTTGACCAGTAAACTGAGACTTGGTCGGTCCCGGAAATTTCAATCACCTTTCGTTTCTCGGAAAGTTTGGTATTTAATGTACTTTACCTTAATAAGGTTCTTGAAGTCCTAATTATAACATTAATAAACAGTGTTTTGCTTGGACGAAATATTCCGTCTTTTTGCAATGACAAAAGGACGTCTTGAGAGTATACAAAGTTATGGAAACCGTGTATAAATTTTGAGAGATATGAAACTTTGAATTTTGAAAAAGAAAAATTGGATTTTTTTATAGCCTCGAAAAGTATTATTATTTTCAGAATACAAGATATGACAAATTTTCAAAGGGACATTTATTTCCAAAAAATGCGCTTTTTTTTATTAATATCATGAAAATAAATTAGAAACGTACAAAAATTGATTAACGTAAACTGCAAGAAAATCGAAAAAAATTTTAAGATGTGTTTCCTATATGTTATGGAGGTTGGATGATAACGCATGGTCCATGATAAAATTCTGCATTTGTTGCATATATTAGACAATAACATAATCTTCGTCTCTACAAATCCTGTACATACTCATCTTCAAACTCGGGTCACTTTTGACCCATGGGTATATTTTCAAAAAAATTTTTTTTATTTATTTACATAACTCAAAAATATCATTCAAATGAAAAATTCGACTCGAAATAATATATTGAAAGAAGAAAATTTTCTCCTAATAAATATATTATTTTTATCAGGAATTTTCGAATGGGTAACTTTGAAGGATTGAAACAGTAATACATAACGTTGTCAATTTCCTCTTAAACTTCTCTGTGAGTTTTCAAAGTAATTTTCTCCAATTCTCTTCGTTAAGTTTTTATTTCCTGTGCTTTTCTCGAACTCCTTTTAATTCTTTGAAAGATTTAATCAACAAATAAAAAGTATTCCCATGGCTGACAAATAATTTTGTAATATTTCTCATTGGTGATCGGCAAAAAAAATTTTTCAAGATTTCATCCCGATTGCGAATAAATCCAGCATCTTCCGTAAGATCGTACCCAGCATCTTCGTATCATCTCTTCGAACGATATAATCAATCAAATTAATGAGACAACCTAAACAGGTCATTTTCTCCAGTATATCTACAGTCCTATAGGTCTATCGGAACTTCGAAAATTCATTAAACTGCGGACGAACAGACACGAAACGAAAAGGAAGTTTGAAAATTTGAAAAAGGAAATATAATTGATATTTACGGCCGAAAAAATGATTAAAGACTACAGCGCTGTATACCAAGAATTTTGTATATTTTAGATAAATCTTAGGCTCCCCCGTCCTATTAACTCTAATTAATACAGATATTACATCACGGCCACGTAGCTACCGTAATTATCCAATATAACCGCGTTAATTTACTTTTTTGCACAAGGGAAACTCCCCTCCCCCGACTTCCAGTCAAATTTTCGAATATAAAATAGCTTCTTCAAATATTTGCCACGACGACAGAAGCATAGAGTGTGTGTTCCCGTAAGAGAGAAAAAGAGGGAAGACAAAATTAATGCGGTCAATTATTCCTCTTGGTCAAAAATTCAATTTTTTATTATTCCCACAATAATTATAATTACGTTAAATTTCCGCGAGTGCGGTCAATTATTACCATTGGTCAAAAATTCAATTTTTTATTGTTCACACAATAATTACGATTACGTTAAGTTTCCGTTACACTCACTAAATGACAGATGCGTTAATGAATGGTGTGAAAGAAATTTTTTTAAGACAAAAATTAACGCGGAGAAAATTGATTTCCAAAGATTTGTGTAAAATTGAGGATAAAAATTTCCATGAAAATAGAAAACCCCGAGACATCTCTTGACATTAACATCGTGATCTCTAGTTTGTCATAAATTAATATTGTTAATTAACATGGTCGAACGGATTTGAGATTTAAAAAAATATTTTCAAATGTCCTAAAAGGGCTTGGGAATCGCAAAAAATTAGGAGGGTAAAAAATGGCAGTCTCTTTCAAGGAATTTAACGTAGTAGATCTGCCCTTAGTCATTGATTACGAAACGAGCATCGAACGAGACGGCAAAAGAAAAAACATTCCGAGTCATCCGAGCATTTCTTTCTCTCTGCTTAAAAGGACCAAAGTGAACGTAGTCACGGTCGCCCTTTTTCAATAATAATCATAATCTTATAATTCCGATACCTGGCAGCCTGCCACGAAGAAATCTTTAAAAATATAAAAAAAAAACTTCAAGCAACGGTAAATAATGTTTGCCAACGAATATTTTTACGTGACATTAAATTTGGTCCAATCAAAAAAAAAAGAAGGAATACTTTTTTAAGTCTGTAAAAAAGAAACACGTGTAATCTGCGAAACATTTTGTCGTAATTTCTATTTTCAATAGTGCGCTATCTCGTCTTATCTGCTAGCAAGTGAAAATATAAAAAATATCTAAAAAAGAACCGTTAATACTCAATTGATGTTTAAAAAATTTTCAATCCCGATTCTACATACAAACAAACCTGTCGCTGATCTAACGGGAAATCGTTTCAAATTCAATTATCGTCGTCTCGGTAAATTTGACTTTAAAAAAAAGGTCGAGAGGGAGCGAAAACTTGTTTTGGAGTCCGAAAAAGGAAAACTTAAAAAAATTCAAAGAAATCAATTTTGGAAAGAAGAACCAAGGTAGCTATCGCATATGATATTTTACGTGATAACGTGGGCGGGGGGGGGGGGGGGGGGTTTTTTTAAA